AGTGGCTTCAAACTACAAGAAAGGAGATTCCACCTGAACATTAGGAAAAACTTCCTGACTGTGAGAGCTGTTCAGCAGTGGAACTCTCTGCCCCGGAGTGTGGTGGAGGTTCCATCTTTGGAGGCTTTGAAACAGAGGCTGGATGGCCATCTGTTGGGGGTGCTTTGAATGTGATTGTCCTGCTTCTTGGCAGAATGGGGTTGGACTGGATGGCCCACAAGGTCGCTTCCAACTCTAGGATTCTATGATTCTATGATTAACTTCACATTATTATTGGGAATATTGCAATCGTTTCCTTTGCATTGCAACACAGATGGGCAATGTTGCCCTCTGGCGCTGTGGCAGTCATAGACCAGCTGCCTTATAGGACCCCAGTCAGGTTGTAGAGGTGCTTCTGGCTCAGGATTGCAGGCTTTAACTGACAGCAGAAGTTTGTCCAGGGTTACAAAGAGGGTCCTTTTCTGACTCCACCATACAAGCATTAATTAGTTGAGTTGTTCAATGTATTGTTGAGTCCCTTAAGGGAGAAAGGGTGGTATAGAAATAAATATTATTATTGGGTTGTTGTAGGTTTTTTTGGGCTATATGGCCATGTTCTAGAGGCATTCTCTCCTGACGTTTCGCCTGCATCTATGGCAAGCATCCTTTGAGGATGCTTGCCATAGATGCAGGTTAAATGTCAGGAGAGAATGCCTCTAGAACATGACCATATAGCCCGAAAAAACCTACAACAACCCAGTGATTCCGGCCATGAAAGCCTTCGACAATACAAATATTATTATCATCATCATCATCATCATCATCATCATCATCATCATCATCATCATTCTTATCATTATAATTATTGATGGCCAGAATGACTGGGTTGTTGTGAGTTTTCCAGGCTGTAAGGCCATGTTCCAGAAGCATTCTCTCCTGACGTTTCACCCACACCTATGGCAGGCATCCTTAGAGATTGTAAGATTTGTTGGAAACTAGCCAAGTGGGGTTTGTATGCCTGTCCAGGGTGGGAGAAAGAACTCTTGTCTGGTTGAGGCAAGTGTGAATGTGGCAATTGGCCACCTTGGTTAGCATCTTTGGAATGACCCACCTGATGCCTTCTATGGAAACGGGGAACCCAAAGGCCATCTAGTTGGTCCCATCCAGGCTTCAGTAGGAGAAGTGGAGACCTGATCGTACTTTGACACACACTAGACAACCTTCCCCATGGAAGAGTTGCTCAAGCAGCTCAAGCAGGGTGGTGCAGAAGAGTGTGTGCGTATTCCTTTATCTTCCCCCAGGGACCTTCCACACAGCCCTATATTTCAGAATATCAAGGCAGAAAATCCCATAATACCTGCTTTGAGCTAGGTTATCTGGAACTAGTTGGAGGCTACAGACAATGCCGTTGCTGTTGCCCATTTTTGGTTAAAAGATATTTAGCCGCCTGCACACCTATTTTTATCAGTTTTATACTCACTTATGCAATGCTTTTGATACGAAATAAATAAATAAATCTGGGACCACACTGCCATACATTCCAGTCAAATGTCCAGGGTGGGAGAAAGAACTCTTGTCTGTTTGAGGCAGGTGTTAATGTTGCCATTGGTCACCTTGATTAGCATTTAATGGCTTTGCAGCTTTAAGGTCTGGAGGCTTACTGCCTGGGGGAATACCCCGTCCCCAATTCCAACTGCAGTGAAAATGAAAATAAAACAGAAGGGAAAATATATTATTAGTCTACCATTACTGATCCAGCTAAATAATCCTACTAATTGCTAATAACCATAACAACAGATTAGGACATTTTTAGATTTGTTATTGCTCAAACAGCCCATAAATGATTAGCAAGCTTTCAGAAAGTCTTCTGTTGACTTATCCTTTAAATATCCACATTAGTTTAGTAATTTGGGCCAAACTTGGCGATCTTAGTAATCCCTTTTCCTATTGATGGTCTGTTTCCAAGTTGAAGCAAATGATATTCTTGTTGCTGTTGTCATGTATCAAAGAAGTGATCCATATTTACTGCCCAATTGTATTGCCAAAGGCTTTCATGGCCGGAATCACTGGGTTGTTGTAGGTTTTTCGGGCTGTATGGCCATGCTCTAGAAGCATTCTCCCCTGACGTTGTGCCTGCATCTATTGCAAGCATCCTCAGAAGTTGTGAAGTCTCTCGCCCAGTTCTTTATACGCAATACCCAACAGAAACATTTCTGGTGAGACCTTACTTAGCTTCTGAAATCTGACAAGATGGATCGTTGTCCTAGGTTGTTTTCAGGGGAAATTGCTCTTGTATGAACATCCATCTATCCCAGGCATGGGCAAACTTGGGCCCTCCCTCCAGGTGTTTTGGACTTCAACTCCCACCATTCCTTACAGCCTCAGGCACTTTCCTTTCCCCCTTCAGCCGCTTAAACAGTTGTATTGCATTAAAAACAAACAAACAAACAGAACACAAAGTTTGCAAGCTTGGTAGTTGACCAGTAGCTGGCCACTTGGAGTGCCTCTGGTGTTGCCGCAAGAAGGTCCTCCATTGTGCATGTGGCAGGGCTCAGGTTGTATTGCAGCAGGTGGTCAGTGGTTTGCTCTTCTCCACACTCACATGTTGTGGATTCCACGTTGTAGCCTCATTTCTTAAGGTTGGCTCTGCATCTCGTGGTGCCAGAACGCAGTCTGTTCAGCGCCTTCCAAGTCGCCCAGTTTTCTGTGTGCCCAGGGGGGAGTCTCTCATTTGGTATCGGCCATTGATTGAGGTTCTGGGTTTGAGCCTGCCACTTTTGGACTCTCGCTTGCTGGAGGTGTTCCAGCGAGTGTCTCTGTAGATCTTAGAAAACTATTTCTTGATTTAAGTCATTGACGTGCTGGCTGATACCCAAACAGGGGGTGGCTGGAGATGTCACTGCCTTGGTCCTTTCACTATTGGTTGCTACTTCCCGACGGATGTCAGGTGGTGCAGAAACCCCATGATAATGCGGCATGTCTCATTAAGAGCCACATCCACTGTTTTAGTGTGGTGAGATGTGTTCCACACTGGGCATGCATACTCAGCAGCAGAGCAGCATAGTGCAAGGGCAGATGTCTTCACTGTGTCTGGTTGTGATCCCCAGGTTGTGCCAGTCAGCTTGCGTATATTGTTTCTAGTGCCCACTTTCTTTTCCCTGAAGATAAAATATTGGTATCTGCAGGGTGCTTGCTATCCCCTGGGATTTGCTTCCAAAAATTTTAGTGGATACATAAATCCATGGATGTTAAAACCCCGCTGTATTCAGTGGTGTAGGAAAATGGTGTCCTGTCCTTTATATAAAATTGCAAATTTAAGGTTTTTATTTTTACTATTTTAAAATATTTTGAATCTGTGGATGGTTAAATCTGTAGATGCAGAATCCATGGATATAAAGGAGCAAGGAAGAGACATTTAGCTGCAAGAGAGAAGATTGGATAGGCAAGGTCCAATTAAGATGTGTTTTTGGCCTCAAACTATGTGGATTTTAGGAGTGCCTGCAGTATTATCTTCCCCAATGCTTTTTATTGTTTGTATAATAGAATAAATAAGTCAAGATCAGGACACTTCTTAACCTGAAACCTGAAACTTCAATTTTCCTGCACTTATTTATTTATTATTTATTTAAAACATTTATATTCTACCCTTCTCACCCCAAAGGGGACTCAGGGTGGAGCGCAGCATATATACGGCAAACATTCAATGCCAGGACAAGAATTCATCTACGCATACATAAACATTAAAAACATTTATCTCAATATTAAAATACACCATTTAAAACCGTCCTGGTTAAAAGGGTGAAATCTAATTGGCCTGGTAATCTTTCCTATTGCTGCTTTATTGCCCTGTCCCAAAAGCTTGATCCCACAGCCAAGTTTTTACCATCCTTCTAAAGGACAGGAGGGAGGGGGGCAATCTGATCACACCAGGAAGGGAGTTCCATAGCTGGGGGGGCAATCACCAAGAAGGCCCTGTCTCTCGTTCCTACCAATTGCCCCTGTGACAATAGCGGGATGGAAACCAAGGCCTCCCTGGAGGATCTTAATTTCCGCAATGGTTTCTAGGGGGAGATGTGTTCGGACAAGTAAATCGGGTCGGGGGAATTACGGCTTTATAGACCAAAGCCAGAACTTTGAATTGTGCCCGGTAGCAAACAGGCAGCCAGTGGAGCTGGTGTAACATGGGAGTTGTATGCTCCTTGTATGCCGCCTCAGTTATTAACCTGGCTGCCTCTCGTTGGACTAGTTGAAGCTTCCGAGCAGTCTTCAAAGGCAACCCCATGTAGAGTGCATTGCAGTAGTCCATCCTAGATGTAACGAGTGCATGGACCACCGTGGCCAAGTCTGACTTCCCAAGGTACGGGCGCAGCACTTATCGTATATACTCATGTATAAGTCTAGAAATCTTAGTCTGAAAATCAGCCCCTAAAACCACAAGACAATGTAAGTACTGTACCTTAACTCTTAAAAATGATATATTCCATTCTCTGAGTAGAGTGGATTAGGTGAGAGCTTAGTCCATCCTGGAATAACCTAGAAGAAGCACCACATCCCTCTCTACCTACCACGATGCCACTTCTGATCGTTTTGAGAGTCTTGGTGAGAAAATGCTGGTGGCTGAGGACACTTGGCCCCTTGAGACTTTCCCCTCTCTATTGAAATACTTCCAAATTATCCACAGGTCTTATAAAAATCTATAGTTTTGACCTCCAAACCCACTCTCTACTCAGACATGAGGTCAACATTTTCCCAATTATATATGGTAGCTCCTCTTTGCCAAGGATATGTAAAAGACCCAAAAGACGTGTATTCTTCTGAGCCACACACCTGAAGATCTGCCATCTCATGGAATCCTGCCCTTGCCTCTCTCCACCTGTTAACTTCACACTTTTTGTTTTGCAGCACATTCCTTTCTTCGGGGATTTTAAGCAGAAGAGGCCTCTGTCGGGAGATTGCGAGGTTGCAGGTCCCTGTCTTTCTGGATTCTGGCCAAGGCGTTTGAAGGCAAAGCATGTCCCGCTCTGCTGGACCAAGCTTCTCTAGTGCCATGGCCCTCCACTGACCCTTTCTCCTCCTGCTCACTTGCCCCGGAGGTTCTGTATCCACCAACATGGAGAAGACCTACTCACTGACGGCACATTACGACGAGTTCCAGGAGGTCAAATACGTGAGCAAGTACAGCAGCAGTGGCACTTTGCCCAACGGGTTCAACCTCCAGCTGGGCACCACTGGGACCAAGAAGAAACACTGTGGGTTGCCCCGCTGGAGCCGCCGGGAGATCTGCCTCCTCTCTGGGCTGGTTTTTGCGGCCGGCCTCTGCGTCATCCTGGGATGCATCCTGGTGTTGAAATACCTGGCTCTGGAGCAGGATGCATACTGCCTGGAGGGATGCCAGGAGCGGAAGGCCTTCACCAAAGCATCCCGCTTCATCGCCACCAACATTGACCCCACCATCGACCCCTGCAAGGACTTCTACTCCTTCGCTTGTGGTGGCTGGCTCCGGCGACACGCCATCCCCGAGGACAAGCTCATTTATGGCATCATTGCTGCCATCGGGGAGCAGAACGAGGAGAAACTTCAGCAATTGCTCTTGCAACCTGTCCGGAGGGCCTACCCGGCCTCAGCCGAGCGCAAGGTCAAGGAGTTCTTCCGCTCCTGCCTCGACCTGGCTGAAATTGACCGCCAGGGGGCCCGGCCCATGCTGGACGTCATAGAGGACTGTGGTGGTTGGGACATGGCCACCACTGGACGCCACGGACGATGGGATTTCAATGAGCTGCTCTATAAAACCCAAGGAGTGTACAGCACGGCTGTCTTCTTCTCACTCACCGTCAACTTGGATGATAAGAACTCCTCCCGCTACGTCATCCGGGTAAGTTGGAGGATCATTGGAGATACACTACCTCCGGGAGGGGATAGATAACCTTTGGGTCTGAATGAGAAAACAAATCTAAGCTATGTGTTGTCTAAGGCTTTCATGGCCAGAATCACTGGGTTGCTGCGAGTTTTTCAGACTGGATGGCCATGTTCTAGAAGAATTCTCTCCTAGCGTTTCACCCACATCTATGGCAGGCATCTTCAAAGATTGTGAGGCCTGTTGGCTTGGAACAGTTTCTCCCCATAGTTTAGTGTTTACACCTCATTTTATTTTTCTGGTTATTTGATGTTTAGTGTTTGTTTTGCTTAGGTGATATTTGTCTTGGCTGTTCTGGTGTGGCACAGGTCCTGTGTAAGATCATGCTGCATATTTTTGACATTGATATTGAGGTCTTAAGTATATACACAAAGTAAAAGTAACACATTGCACATCTCTATGGGGAGAAACTGTTCCAAGCCAACACACCTCACAACCTCTGAGGATGCCTGCCATAGATGTGGGTGAAATGTCAGGAGAGAATGCTTCCGGAACATGGCCATAGAGCCTGAAAAACTCACAGCAACCCAAATCTCAGCTAGCTAAATTAAGAATGCATCTGCAACATAGGATGAATGCAGTTTGACACCACTTTATGGGAGCCTACAATTTGCAGTTTGGTGAGGAACTATCAGAAAAGCTTGAAGAACTTGCAGAACTACAACTCTCATAATTCCATAGCCATGGCAGTCAAACTGCATTCATTCTACAGTGTAGATGCACCTTATGACAAGGGGAGTCATAGAGGAAGATACCTTAGAACGGGATCCATCTCAATCTTGTGTTGATTTCCATCCAACTCATAGACTCAAAGAATCATTCAGTTGGAAGAGACCTCATGGGCCATCCAGTCCAACCCCATTCTGCCAAGAAGCAGGAAAATTGCATTCAAAGCACCCTTGACATATGGCCATCCAGCCTCTGTTTAAAAGCCTCCAAAGAAGGAGCCTCTACCACACTCTGCGGCAGAGAGTTCCACTGCTGAACAGCTCTCTCACACAGTCAGGAAGTTCTTCCTCATGTTCAGGTGGAATCTCCTTTACTGTAGTCTGAAGCCATTGTTCCATTGCATCCTAGTCTCCAGGGCAGCAGAAAACAAGCCTGCTCCCTCCTCCCTATGACTTCCCCTCACCTCTTGATACATGACAGTCATGTCCCCTCTCAGCCTTCTCTTCTGAAGGTTAAACATGCCCAGCTCTTTAAGCCACTCCTCATAGGGCTTATTTTCCAGACACTTGATCATTTTAGTTGCCCTCCTCTGGACACATTCCAGCTTGTCAACATCTCCCCTCACTTGTGGTGCCCTGAACTGGACACAGTATTCCAGGTGTGGTCTGACCAAGGCAGAATAGAGTATGGGGAGCATGACTTCCCTGAACATGGTCTCCACCAACATGGTGCAGAATGTGGTCCTATGCCTGTTGCAGAATGTAGTCCTGTGGTGCAGGTCCTGTGGAGCAGAATGTGGTCCTGTGACCCTCCTGAAGCTTTTTCTGGATCTCAGCTCCCCACCCAAGGATGACTCACCTCTCCTGGAAAACTCCCAAAGAGGCAATCCTCTTTTATATATGTTGCTGTGATCCTGCTTGGCAATTGGCCACCAGATGTAACCTTCCCTGATCAACATCAACACTGCAACACCCATTAAGCTCCTGAATAGTTGGAACACTACCTCCACTATCTATAGAATCATAGAGTTGGAAGAGACCTTGTGGGCCATCCAGTCCAACCCCATTCTGCCAAGAAGCAGGAAAATCGCATTCAAAGCACCCCCAACAGACGGCCATCCAGCCTCTGTTTAAAAGCCTCCAAAGAAGGAGCCTCCATAGTCTTTCCCTCTTGTTTTCCTGGAGGTAGTTTGGGGAATCCCTTTCTGCTCCTCCATCCAATCTAGAGCCAGACATTTTCAAAGGCAGTGCATCAAATCGCTCGGTTCCTTTCAAAAATTAGGTACATAATTCCAACATTGTTACATGCACTTACAGCCGCATCATACCTAATTTTCTGACAGTTAACAAAAGGAAACCATCCCTTTCAAGATGTTCAATACGCCGCGCCGACGTTGCTCTCAGTCATCCATATTCAGTAAGGCTGGGAAGAGACAATAGGGGATTTGAAAAAGAGAGCTGAAAAAACATTTTGTGCAAAGAGACCGTTCTCGGTCCCTCTTTTGTACTCCCTCCAAGCTTCTCAAGAGGGAAGGGGGACACACATTTATTTATTTATTTCATACGTACGCTGTTTGACCACTTTTTTGTAATTTAGCTGATAAGAGTTCTTACATCATCCACCCACCACTTAAGTTAACCAAGTGAGAGCTTAATAAGAGCCTGTGGAATTGATTTCAGATTGCACTCCTCTGCAACCCTTTATCTTAAAACTAGCTGTACCCACCATGCGTTGCTGTGGCCAACCTTCCCTCCCTTTCTCTTCTTTCTTTCTTTCTTTCTTTCTCCTTCCTTCCTTCCTTCCTTCTTCCTTCCTTCTTTCTTCCTTCCTTCCTTTCTCTTTCCTTCCTCCTTTCCTTCTTCCTTCCTTCCTTCCTTCCTTCCTTCTTTCCTTCCTTCCCTTTTTCTTTCTTTCTCTTTTCTCCCTTCTCTTCTTCTTCCTTTCCTTTCCCCTCTTTTCTTTCCCTTCCTCTTTCTCCCCTTTCTTCCTTTTCTACCTATTCTTGGACTGCAACTTCCAGCAGTCCTCCTGATCCATATCTACCTACCTACATAGGATCTTCTGGGGGGACCTGCTCTCGGTCCTGCCACCATCACAGGCATGTTTGGCAGGGATGAGAGACAGGGGCTTCTCAGTGATTGCCCCCCCCGTTATGGAACTCCCTTCCTGGCCATATTAGATCAGCTCCCTCCCTCCTGTCCTTCAGAAGGATGGTGAAGACCTGGCTTTACCTTTCTTTCTCTCTTTCTTTCTCCTTCCTCCTTCTCTTCTTCTTCTCTTCCTTCCCAACCTTTCTTTCCCTTCCTCTTTCTCCTCTTTCTTCCTTCTCTACCTATTCTTGGACTGCAACTCCCAGCAGTCCTCCTTATCTACCTACCTACCTACCTATCTCGGGGGGGGCTGCTCTTGGTCCTGCCACCAACACAGGCACGTTTGGTGGGGACGAGAGACAGGGCCTTCTCAGTGATTGCCCCCCGGTTATGGAACTCCCTTCCTGGCAATATTAGATCAGCCCCCTCCCTCCTGTCCTTCAGAAGGATGGTGAAGACCCGGCTTCCTTCCTTCCTTCCTTCCTTCCTTCCTTCCTTCCTTCCTTCCTTCCTTCCTCCTTTTTCTCCTTCCTTCCCTCTCTTCTCCTCCTTCCCCCCCCCCCCCTTTTCTTTCCCTTCCTCTTTCTCCCCTTTCTTCCTTCTAACCTATTCTTGGACTGCAACTCCCAGCAGTCCTTCTAATCGATCTGCCTAAGATCTTCTGGGGGGGGGGGCTGCTCTTGGTCCTGCCACCAACACAGGCACGTTTGGTGGGGACGAGAGACAGGGCCTTCTCAGTGATTGCCCCCCGGTTATGGAACTCCCTTCCTGGCAATATTAGATCAGCCCCCTCCCTCCTGTCCTTCAGAAGGATGGTGAAGACCCGGCTTCCTTCCTTCCTTCCTTCCTTCCTTCCTTCCTTCCTTCCTTCCTTCCTTCCTTCCTTTTTCTCCTTCCTCCCTTCTCTTCTCCTTCCCTTCCCCCCCCCCCCCCCACCTTTTCTTTCCCTTCCTCTTTCTCCCCTTTCTTCCTTCTCTACTTATTCTTGGACTGCAACTTCCAGCAGTCCTCCTGATCCATATCTACCTACCTACCTAAGATCTTCGGGGGGGGGGGGGGGGCTGCTCTCGGTCCTGCCACCATCACAGGCACGTTTGGCGGGGACAGGAGACAGGGCCTTCTCAGTGATTGCCCCCTGGTTATGGAACTCCCTTCCTGGCAATCTCCCTCTCTCCTATCCTTCAGAAGATCTGGCTGTGGGACCAACCCTTTGGGGCTGTGCAAGGAGGCAAAATGGTGTCCTGAGATTGTTTTTAAGCAACTTTTAACATGTATATAAGTGATTTTAATGTTTGTATATATTTATGGTTTTATGTCCCAACACTGAATGTTTGCCATATATATGTTGTGCCCTGAGTCCCCTGAGTTGGGGTGAGAAGGGCAGAATATAAATGTTTTAAATAAATATCTATCTATCCATCTCTATCTATCTAATCTATCTATCTGGATGATTTCTGGGAGTTGCAGTCCAGGAATAGGAAATTGGAAATATGCAAGGATTGGGATGCTCTCAAAGAAATCCAAGGAGAAGAAAGCTTGCAGCTTGGAAGCAGTGCATTTGGATCATCCTCCTCTCCTAAAGGGCTTGGTCTAGGGGATGCTGGGATCTGTAGTCCGGAAGAGAGTGTGGATATGCTATTGTGTGTTTTCTTTGTCAGGGGAGTCGTTTTTGCGCATGCGCTGTAGAGTTTTTTTTGCTTTTTTGGCCTTTTAAGTCCCTTCTGCTGTGTTTTTCAGTGTTTTTATGTGTAATGACCACTCGTTGGCCTGAGAGGTGTCTTGTGTCCAAATTTGGTGTCAATTCGTCCAATGGTTTTTGAGTTATGTTAATCCCACAAACGAACATTACATTTTTATTTATATAGACTAGCCGTCCCCTGCCACACGTTGCTGTGGCTCAGTCTGGTGATCTGGAAAATAAAGTAATGTGAAAGTGTTGGTTTCTAATATATGTAATGTCTTTCTGCTTGTGGGTAAACAGTATTTCTTGCTGTTTCTTTGCCAGTGTTGATGTGGAGAGTGTCTGGTTTGCCTACTCTGGAACATGCAACATATCATTGTCCTTCTTTAGAGGTCCCTTTCAAATCTATGATACTATATCTCTGTGTGAATCATATATATCTATGGCTTGGTGGCTCTCTGTCAGGAGGGCTTTGATTATGTTTTCTTGCCCTGGTGAAGGGAGTTGGACTGGATGGC